GGCATCTTGTGGTGCTCTGTATTACATCTTGGCTTAATGTTAAAGCTGTGGGCGAGGCGAGGGGCGCAGTGGCTGAGCAGGGCCAGCGGCGGTGCCGGACGGGGCTGCCCTGGGGGTGCCTTCCACCGTGGGGGTCGCAGCCACGGGACCCGCCCCCGCCCTGCGCTGCCCCTCCCGGTGCGCCCCGCCCATCGTTGGGGGCTGCCGCAGCCCCCGGCCCTTCCCGCGCTGCCGAGGCTGCCGGGGAGGGACCGGGCTGTGCTGGGGGGAAAGGGTTTTGCTCCTTGTGTTCGAGTGCGGCAGCGGGAGGGCGTTCCAGGGCGGTGCAGGGGGGGCCGGGTGACCTCACGGATGGCGCGGTGGGGCCCGAGAGCTGCAGCTCTACCTGGGCTTAGCGGGAGAAGCTGGGACTTGGCATGGTGCGATTTGGGGGTGGGGGGGGGGTCGTGTTTTTCTGGTTTCCTTTTCGACCACTGCGGTGACGGGCAGAAAAGGCTGGAAAAGAAAGACTGGCAGTGGCTTCCCGATTCGCTTTGCAGACATTTGCCACCTGCAGAGGAGGGAGTGCAGCAGGGTGCAGCGAGCTGGGGCGGAGCTGTGACTCAGGAGAGGGTGTGCGCAGTCCCTCAAAACCCGCACCCAACCCCAGCCCAAAAGAAGCCCAGAGCGAAGCACCACGAGCCAGCGCCGGTCCGGGGCCCCGCCTGAGAACAGCCCCTGCCTCCTGCTCGCTCCGGCAGCGCCCCTCGGCTGGCGCCGGCCCCTTTCCCTGGCTCGCCTGTGGTTCCATGCACCCTTCTGTCCTCTCCCATGCGAGACAGCCCCAGGTGTGGGCAGTGAGGATGACAAAGGGGTGGGACATCCCCAGGTGTGGGCAGTGAGGATGACGAGGGCTGGGCCCTGCTGAGTGGTTATCTGGGCCACTTTTTGTAGGGAGCTTTTGCCGGGGAGCAGTCTTTCAAGGAGTAAAGGTGGGGGCGTCTCGCCGGGGCAAGCACCTGAGGTACCTGGATCATCGCTCAAGGAAGGGGCCGAGGGATGAGCCGTGTGCCGGGAAACAGCGCAGGAGAGGGGAGCAGCGCACGTGAACAGGTGGGGGAGTACAGAGAAGATACAGCTCGGACTGGAGGAAGAGCTTGGAGGTTTCTTTTACTGATATGAACATGCAAAGCAGGGAGGGAGGTGGGATATAAGCACTCTAGGTGCTCGGGCAGGTGAGCCAGGACTCAGGGGAGGGACTAGCTTTCCTGAGCACCAAAGGTCCAATTATTGGCCTCTCTCAGGAGCAGTGGAGAGGAGTTTCTACTTTGGGGCTGAGCTACAAAGGAAAGCACCTGAAACTGCTGTGGGAAGCTTACTGCTCTAACCAGGCAGTAGTTTACACTGAGTTTTTAACTACTAAACCCACTGAGTTTTGTTTTCTCTGTGCACAAACCCTGCTGGTACCTGTTAAACTGACTTGCTAAGTTGTGCATTGCTCGATAAACCCTTGCCTCTCCCTTTTCCTAGAGGAATGATTGGTCTTACCTTGGAAGCAAGAGAATGTCCTGGTGTGCGTGCTTTTGCCATTTTTTTCCCCCAGCTTATCTTCGAGCCTTACTTGATGCTGCGTGTGATTTTTTTCAGCACTGTGGGAAGGGCACAACTTGCCATAATATTGGCCTGTTTCCTTCTCTCTGCAAAAGGACATGTTTCAGCAAGTGTGATGGTGCCTGGTGCCACCTGCAGAGCTCTCTGACTGCCTGAGCCCTTTTTTCCTTTTGCTTTTCTTTTGTGGCTGTAATTGGCACCTAGATAAGTTTAGAAGAGCTGTTAAATTCCTTGCCTGTGTAAACGTGCTGGTAATAGCAGGGAGGGAAATGCTTGAGGCAGTAGTGATAACTGGGCTATGAAGGACTATTTCTGAAGGACTAACAACAATGAGGGGAAGGAAATAGCAATTGTCCAAGAACTTGGCTGTTTTGAAGGCATCAGAGTTTTATTGCCACATGTTGTTTGCCACAGTGTTGTGAGCAGAGGGTTTTGGGGAACAGATTTGGAGGACATTGGGGGAAATGTTTTGGGCATAAAACCAGAGGTGAACTACAGGGGACAGAGTGTATATTTTGAGTGTAACACCTAAGATGCTCTTTTCCATAGGAAGGAAAGCACATAGCCCCATGATTGAAGGTGTAGATGACAGGCTGCCTAGGGGAGGGAAAGGACAGCAAGACCTTTCTGTCCTGACCCTTTCTGTACAAATAGGTGAAAGCGTGGATTCCAGGACAGAAGTAGGTGCTGCCTGGGACTTTGGGGGCTCCAGACAGAGAAGACCTCGGAGGCCCCTTGATGAAGCCCCTCAGAAACCTTACCAGGGTAGATGTGTATGGTTGTAAGTGCTGGGGAATGTCCTGAGCGTGGAACAGGAATGCAGGGAACAAAATGAACCCTCATGGAATGCTGAGTCCTCCCATCAGCTGCAGCGGAGGCACCTCTGTGTGCACTGTGGGAGCTGATGGCCAGGGCCCCCGGTGGGCTGGGATCACTGCAGGGTGTTGTCAGCAAGGAATGCCTGGCTTCTAAAACTCACCAGCTGAGTCTTAGAGGCTTCTTTTTTTTCAGGCAGCCAAATTGGCCCCAGGCAGGGACTCTGAGCCTGCTCTCCTGGTGTGCCCAGGGATCTCTGGGCCTTCACGCCGGCACCGAGATGTTCTCGGGAAGGCCCTCAGATCCCCGGAGCAGTCTGGGACACGGGCAAGATCCCCCTGCATTTCGGGGGCAGATTGGGCCCCCCGGAGGGACAGTGCTGTTGCTGCCCCCCGGGCTGGGACACTCGGAGAACTCCAGCGCGCACCGAAATTGTTCTTCGGGGAGCTCCTCTGGGTGCCCCAAGGTGGGGAGCTGAAAGCAAGGTCCCTGGAATGGATTCAGGCATTCCTGAGAGTATCAGAGGTGTAGCTGTCTGTGCTGGCCATGGAGCTCCGGAATGGACTGTAACTGGGTTCTAAAAGTGGTGCTCCAGCTGCAAAAGGAGTGTGGGATTGGAATTAAGGAATGAGTGGTGATGGTACCGTTGGCTGTTTTCTCTTGAATGCAGTTGTGAGAGCTGCAGGAGTGCAAGGTGTGGGTTCCAGTCCCCACCGTTTGGTTTGCACGTGTCCTGGTCAGACACAGGTCCAGCTTCCTCAGCCCTTAACACAGCAGAGGGAGAATTAAGGGATGGCACTGGGAAGGTGATTGGTGTGACAGGGGTTAAACTGGGAAAACACTGGGTAATTCCTCAGTTTGTTTATTTGCAAGCTCCCCTAAACCTTTGCTAGGAAGAGATGGGTTGGACAAGTTGAGGCAGAAATGAACTTGGAAAATGGGGAGATTGAAATTGTAGTTGCTGACACTAACTGTGTGACAGGAGCAGCTCTTCTTGTGCAGGAAGTAACTCCCGTCAGCAGCACCGTCCCGACTGAAGCGGCAGATGGAGTTGTTCCTGTGGTGAGGGCCAGTGGAATTCCAGGAGAATGGAAGAGGGCAGAGCCTGTAGGTATTAGCCCTAAGCTGGGATCTGTGTGGGTAAGGCAACCCCAGTATCCTTGAAAATCAGAATGCCAGCAGTAGATTTAAAAGATACCTTTTGTTGCATCCCCCAGGAGCAAGGCAAGCCAAGAAACCTTTGCTTTTGAAGGAGAAACTCTGGAAATTGGGAAGGAAGAAATGAAGCCACCTGAGCCCTCCCTGAGCAACAGGCAGTCCATGAAGTGCCTTCCTGGGAACGGTAGGACAGTGAGGACTCCGGATTTCACGCTACGGGTGTGTGGTAAGACTGATGCAAACTTTTGAAACCCCCTGTATGAGTTTCCTGCCTTGGATAGATGGTGCAAGGGCAGCCTTTAGGCAGCCTTTTTCCCAGTTAGCCCTGGAAGGAGGACAGTGATACCTTTTCAGTGCTAGTAGATACTCTGAGTAGATGGCCGTAAGTCTGTCCTTGTTGCACCAGGAGGCCTTATCAAGCTCCCTGTATTACAGGAGCTATTCCCATGAAAGCAAAAAGCGTTCCTCATAATTCTTTGCTGCCTTTAGGATCTGCCCTGCAGAAACTCCCGGAATTGACGGTGACACCCCGGCCGATGGATTGGACGCCCCAGCCCGTCCGTTCCTGCCCAGCCGCTGGGTCCCTGTCAGGCGGTGGGACTCCCAGCCTGTCCAGGTGAAGTGGAAAGGGCCTTTGCAGGCCTGGTTGATCCCATTTCTAGCAGTTCAAGTTGCAGAAAAGGGACCTCGGGCACCTTTTTTTTGAGTTGGGGAAGCTCCTTTGGATTCCAGCGGAACAAACTGGATCCTTCCAAGTTATCATCCGTGTTTGTCCCTCAGCCTGTGTTAGGTTTCAGGGCTGTAGCTGTTGTAGTCCCTCAGGAGTCCAACTGTGCTTTAAATAAGGAGACCTTGGCCTAATGGCCAAGTGTCAGGAAAAAAGGGTGGATGCTGTCTGAGTTTTGAGGTGTAACGAGTGCTGATACTTTTTGCAGGGGGCTGTGGCATAGAAACTGCCCAGAGCTGAGCCAGAGGATTGAAAGGGACTAACCCAGCGAGGTGAAGAAACAAGGAAGAAGGGAAGTGAGGCAGCAGCCAAGCAGCACCGAGTTCCTCTGTCAGCAGGTGAGTTGTTTTGAGGCTCCTAAGGCGGGCACTCAGGACTTTGGATGCTCCAGACAGAGAAGACCTCGGAGGCCCCTCGATGAAACCCCTCAGAATCTTTATCAGGGTAGGTGTGTATGGTTGTAAGTGCTGTAGGAGCTGATGGCCAGGACCCCTGGTGGGCTGGGATCACTGCAGGGTGTTGTCAGCAAGGAATGCCTGGCTTCTAAAACTCACCAGCTGAGTCTTAGAGGCTTCTTCATTTTTGGGCAGCCAGATTGGCCCCAGGCAGGGACTCTGCGCCTGCTCTCCTGGTGTGCCCAGGGATCTCTGGGCCTTCACGCCGGCACCGAGATGTTCTCGGGAAGGCCCTCAGATCCCCGGAGCAGTCTGGGACACGGGCAAGATCCCCCTGCATTTCGGGGGAAAATTGGACCCCCCTGGAGGGACAGTGCTGTTGCTGCCCCCCGGGCTGGGACACTCGGAGAACTCCAGCGCGCACCGAAATTGTTCTTCGGGGAGCTCCTCTGAGTGCCCCAAGCTGGGGAGCTGAAAGCAAGGTCCCTGGAATGGATTCAGGCATTCCTGAGAGTATCAGAGGTGTAGCTGTCTGTCCTGGCCATGGAGCTCCGGAATGGACTGTAACTGGGTTATAAAAGTGGTGCTACAACAGCAAAAGGACTGTGGGATTGGAATTAAGGAATGAGCGGTGATGGTAGTGTTGGCTGTTTTCTCTTGACTGGAATTGTGAGAGCTGCAGGAGTGCAAGATGTGGGTTCCAGTCCCCACCGTTTGGTTTGCACGTGTCCTGGTCAGACACAGGTCCAGCTTCCTCAGACCTTAACACCCCCGAGGGAGAATTAGGGGATGGCACTGGGAAGGTGATTGGTGTGACAGGGGTTAAACTGGGAAAACACTGGGAAATTCCTCAGTTTGTTTATTTGCAAGCTCCCCTAAGCCTTTGCTAGGAAGAGATGGGTTGGACAAGTTGAGGCAGAAATGAAACTTGGAAAATGGGGAGATTGAAATTGTAGTTGCTGACACTAACTGTGTGACAGGAGCAGCTCTTCTTGTGCAGGAAGTAACTCCCGTCAGCAGCACCGTCCCGACTGAAGCGGCAGATGGAGTTGTTCCTGTGGTGAGGGCCAGTGGAATTCCAGGAGAATGGAAGAGGGCAGAGCCTGTAGGTATTAGCCCTAAGCTGGGATCTGTGTGGGTAAGGCAACCCCAGTATCCTTGAAAATCAGAATGCCAGCAGTAGATTTAAAAGATGCCTTTTGCTGCATCCCCCAGAGCAAGGCAAGCCAAGAAACCTTTGCTTTTGAAGGAGAAACTCTGGAAATTGGGAAGGAAGAAATGAAGCCACCTGAGCCCTCCCTGAGCAACAGGCAGTCCATGAAGTGCCTTCCTGGGAACGGTAGGACGGTGAGGACTCCGGATTGCTCCCTACGGATGTGTGGTAAGACCGATGCAAACTTTTGAGGTGAAGAAACAAGGAAGAAGGGAAGTGAGGCAGCAGCCAAGCAGCACCAAGTTCCTCTGTCAGCAGGTGAGTTGTCTTGAGGCTCCTAAGGCAGGCACTTGGGACTTTGGATGCTCCAGAAAGAGAAGACCTCCAAGGCCCCTCGATGAAGTGGCCAGGCTGGCACATTACCTAAACCTCAGACCCCCAGGGTAAGCACCTTCTTTTCGGAGAGAACAGGCTTTTGTTTGCTTGCAGGAGTGCCGCACTGAAATTGCCAGTCGGACACCAAAACTCCAAACGAACAAAGATTGCTCCCAGACAAAATATGCAAGGAGACAAAGCTGCTGGTGTCCATGGAGTGCCAAGGCCGGCCCACCAACTGCACTTGAGAGCCTGAGACTAAGCCCTTTGATTCCTGGGAGAAAGGCTTGTTGTTGGCTTGCAGGAATCCTGCACGGATATTGCTGCTCAGACTCCAAAATTGACTCCGAACAAAGATTCCTCCCAGACAAGAGGTGCCATCAGAGAAAGCTCCTGCTCCCCATGGATTGCCCAGACCAGCCCACCAGCTGCACCTAAGCCCCTGAGGGTAAGCATTTTCTTTCCTAGGAGAAAGCGCTGTAGTTGGCTTGCAATAATCCTGTGCTGAAATTGCTCGTCTGACAACAAAATGGGATAGGAATGAAGATTGCTCCCAAAGAAAAGGAGCCATCACAAAAAGCTCCTGTTTCCCTTGGAGGGCCCAGGCTGCCCCACAAAGTGCACGTAAGACCTTGGGGGTAAGCCCTCTTTGTCCTAGCAGAAAGGACTTTGGTTCGCTTGCAGGAGTGCTGCGCTGAAATTCCCAGTCCGCCTGCAAAAATTGAAGACAAAGAAAGATTCCTCCCAGACAGAAGGTGTCCAGGCCCAAAGCTCCTTCTACCCGTGGAGTGCCCAGGCCGACCTACAACCCAGACCTTAAAGCCAAGGGTAAGCACTTGCTTTTCTGGGAGAAAGGCCTGTCGTTCGCTTGCAGGAATGCTGCACTGATGTTGCTACTCTGACTTCCAAATGGAATAAGAACAAAGATTCCTGCCAGACAAGAGGTGCCATCACAGAAAGCTCCTGCTGCCCATGGAGCGCCCAGGCTGCCCTACCAACTGCACTCTGGACCCTGAGGGTAAGCTCTTTCTTTCCTGGGAGAAAGGGCTGTCGT